TTTCTATTTATTTTCTGATATAATATTATAATATGGCAGGGGGAGATATAAGCTGTCTTCTGGTTCTTCTGGAAGATGGTCTTTAAGTTTATTCTGAAGGGCATTAATTTTTCTGTTGGAAGACAGTCAAAAATGGAGAATGGATCAACAAAGATAATTTTCCAAGACTGTCAAAAACTCTGGACCTGCCCCTGGCACGATATGATATAATACAACACAACACACATGATACAGTACAATATAATATGATATTATAAGAGTTTGTGGGCATATTGCTGAAAAGGTAGTTATCTTCTTCCCATGATCCTGTCCCTTGGCATCATCCCTTAGCTCCACCCCTTGTCCTTCCCACTTACTTTCACCCCTTGACCTTCCCCCACTTGACCTGCCCCCCTTGACCTGTCCCCTCAGCACCACCCCTTGACCTGCTCCCTCAGCTCCACCCCTTGACCTGCTCCCTTAACTCCACCCTTAGCTCCGCTCCTTGACTTACCCCAATTAGCTCCACCCCGTACACCTGCCCCCTTAGCTCCACCCCTTGAGCTGCCCCCTTAGCTCCACTCCTTGACTTATCCCCCTTAGCTCCACCTCCTACACCTGTCCCATGACATGCCCCCTCCCCTTTAGCTCCGCCCCCTTGGCTCCACCCCTTAGCTTTGCTCCCTTGTATACTTTTCCTGTTAAACTCGATTCGTCACCACCTACCTGGAGGTTTGATCAGCATTCTACAGTAGAACGTACGGCTACAGTTGCCTAGTGATCCTTCTCTTGGCCAAGACAAGCTGCCACCTAGTGGAGAAAAAAGAAAAAGTTGTGAGAATCAATCCTTAACAGATGTGAATCTAAGAGTGGTTTATGTGCATCTGGGGTTAGACTTCCAAGGAGTTTTTAGTCATTTCACAAATGGGGAAAGGTAGAATATAACTCTATAAATAGCTTTTCAAACTAAAAGTGTACTTACAATTATTGATATGGAATACCATGGATGACTTACATACTTACACAATAGCAAAAGGAAAATTCTACTTTTTTCTAGTCAAAATTTCTTCAAGTTAAGGAAAATTTATGCCACTGCATTATGTGTTTGCAGCATACATGTTTATGTGTACAGAATAGCATGTGTGCAAATATGTAAACAAGTTCATGTATGCGTGCGTGCAAGCATCTGTATGATTCCTTACCTACTGACATGGACAGCAAACTATTGCTGAACTGTACATGTATGCGTGCGTGCAAGCACCTGTACATGTATTTACCTACTGATATGGACAGCAAACTATTGCTGAACTGTACATGTATGTGTGCGTGCAAGCATCTATGTGATTCCTTACCTACTGACATGGGCAGCAAACTGCTGCTGAACTGAGCGTGATCTCCTACGTGGATGATATTATATATACTTTTGGCTACAACATCACACTGAAATGAACAAAACATGAAACACAATGTAAGTTAATATGAAAACAAGATGCAATTTTTTTTATTGAGACCCACAGGGGTGTTTCAAAAGTCATGGAGTTTAAAAGAGTACCATGCCAGAGGCAATGCTATAATAAACTACAGTGTGAACATTGAGCTTAAATAAAATTTGTTGTTTAAACTATTATGAATGTCATTTAGAGATAATTTTGAAATAAACAAATACTTCAAGTACCATTTTAAATCAAATATTTAATCAACTTCAAAAAAAAAAAAAAAAGAATTCCTAAGAATATTTTTTGCCCACTTACAGGATTGTACTTGAGGTACTGTGCGATGTTTTCGGATACAAACTCCACCTTCCCCTGACTGTTAACAACAAACAGGAAACCGTCCAGTGCCTGGAAGAGTGAACAAAGGAACTATGTCAGCCTATGGGAATATAGCCATCGTAGAGTGTGTGTGTGTGTGTGTGTGTGTGTGTGTGTGTGAGAGAGAGAGAGAGAGAGAGAGAGAGAGAGATTGTGTGTGTGTGTGTGTGTGTGTGTGTGTGTGTGTGTGTGTGTGTGTGTGAGAGAGAGAGAGAGAGAGAGAGAGAGAGAGAGAGAGAGAG